AAACTATGAAAGAACAAACAAAATTTTATACGGAAAATTTGTTTTCAGAAGAAAAACTTTTTTTTTCTTACCTTTTAAGAAAACAACTCTCAGAAGCTAGGGAACAAACACCTTGATAATTTGGAATAATATTTTAGATATTATTATAATATTTAATCATATATGTATTGTCTATGTAGATACAAAATAATGTATACATTGTATACATTGTATTGTTCCCTTGCTTATTACTTTATTCACTTACTATGTAAAATTGTTTCGTATACAGCACAACTTTCAATGTATCTATTCTTGTTCTTGGAACATAATTATTATGTTATAGATTTCTTTTTCTACACACTTTTCCAAAGTAAGCATTTTTATTTGTAGCATATTTGCTCAATTATGAGGACTAGATTATTTCAAAATGTAAGTATATATACTTTATTTGCATATACTTATGTGTTTGTATATTTTAAATAACATTATAATATATTCATTATATATTAGTGTAGGTATAAGAATAATATTTTGTTTCTTGTACATATTTCTCATAATTGAAAAATTGTTGCTTCTCTTTAATATTAAATAAGTTTGCTATATAAAAGAAAAACTATATTTGAATAACTTAAAATTTAAATACAAGTGAGATGAAAATTAAGAAATTATTTACATTTTACACTATAAAAAGAATATCAATATTGTAAGAAGCTTAGCTAAATAAAATTTAATTTTACTATACTACTGTGCGAGTGTATGTGTTTATAAAGTATTATACTTTCATTAGTATAATGATTAAAGAATAATATTGCTTATTTCGTTAAGTAATAAACAAAATCAGTGATGATTCACTTATGATGAGTAATTTAAGCAGTGCAATTTGTTATAGTGGAATTTTAGGACTGTAAGGCGTTAAAGTGTTTAAAGTTGTTAACAGCTCTCGTATGTTGTTATACAACTGCAACAAAATTTTATCACAATAGCCGCCGCAGTAAATTTATAATATTAAATTCTTTCGTTAAAAATTACTTAAAAATATGAACATAATCTAGAACATACAATTTATTTAACAAACGGAAATGTAACTGAAAAAGGTAGGGTATAAGGCTAAAAAAATATTGATATTATATATAAAGTCATTGCTACAATAATTACCTTCAATTCAGTGATGTGAAAAAAATTGTTCACACTACAAAGTTTCAAGTTTTATATTCTATATGAGAGGCTCAGAAGCAGAGTTGAGTAAGCCACAAAAGAACCGGATTCTTCAAGGTTAGAGTTTATTAGTAATAAACTAGCTTAAATACAAAAAAAACTGAGAAAAATAACATATTGCTTTAAAATTTCGTTTTTTTCAATTGCATTTTCTACAAAATAATATGAATGGGGGATATGGCACTCTGCTTCTGAGCCCCTCATATATGAAAGGCTTTCCAGATCTTCACATGTTTCAAATTATAAAAGTACAGTGTCGTAAAGCTTTATTTTTTAACTCTTGACACATGTAAAATTTACAATTTCAGTACAGTATTGAAATTTTCTTTTTACAAGCGCCTGCATATATGCAATATTTTCCTATAAAATTTTTGCAAAGTAAAATACATATGAAAAAAGCACAATGATTATAACATAAGAGTGTAAAAACAGGAATAATAAAATAAAAATAAAAATTTTTTTTATTTGAGTTCAAAGAATATCTATGTTGCCGTTGCCGTGCCACTGATATGCATTTTCTTTTTTTTACATATCAAAAATATAAAAATGTAGAAAAGAGAAAGAAAAGAAATTTTGTATCGGAATATGATGGCGTAAATTTCTTTTTGTGTTTTTTGTTGTTTCGAAACTTTTGTATAAATTTAAGATTTATGTTAAGTAAAAAGTTTACTTTTTCTATTATGATGATGGCAGATATTTTTCAACTTCATTATATTGTGTATGTAAACATTCTTTTATAAGAATATACTCTAACTATATGTGTGTGTATGCGTGTGTTTACATTTCTTTTTTTCTTAAGTATGTTTATTATTACTAACTTATAATATTTTCCTGCTATACAAACAATGTAATATGCATACGTTTACGAAAAAAAATAAATTTATATTTTATACTTTAATATTTTTTACTTAGTCAAACTTCAAAAACGTACAAAAAAAAACAAATAACTTTATAAAAAATACGAATCTAATTTTTTCTTGTGTTGTTAAAGTAACTGTATAACACAGAACTCTCTTTTTTCTCTCTGGTAGATCAAAATAAGTTTTTGTTTTTCTTTTCTTTTTGTTGTTTTTTAAGTATCATTATAAAAGAGAAACCAACAACATGTAAAAATGAGAAAAGTTTTCCTCTTATTTAAAATTTTTGTTTTTGTTGTTGCAGTTGTTGATGTTTTTATTCGTTAAGTAAAAATGACGAATAAAATTAAAAAATGAACATTTGTTTGTGGATTCTTTGTATTTTAAGATGCATGTTGCGGGTGTTTTCTTTTTTATTAATTTTGTATTTTTTTGATATTAAATTAAAAGAAATAAATTATGCACAGAAACATCCAATCTAGTCGAATTGCTTTATTAAAAGGCAAATTTTTTACGAAAATTTTGACTTTCGATAAGCTAATATCGCGCATATTCTCTTTTCTACGTAATATGTAAATTCTTGTAATTATAAACAAACTTAATACACTGCAGCTTTGAAAAACCCAGAGTCACAAATAGCGACTAAATTTAAGTTTCATTGTCTTAGTCCTTTATGTTTTTGATCTTCATACAGGGAAGATTAAAATGAATAGTCGAATAGCTGCACTATAAATTTGAAAGCAATTTTTTGATGTATAAAAAATTATTAAATTTATAATTAGTTTTTACTTTTATTAATTTTCTTGAAAATTTGGTACAGATACACTTTTTTCAAATTATATAAATCAAAATGAGTCCCAAATCGGTTTAAAAATGAAGGTGGATCAAAGTGACAACTGAATATCTATAAAACCAAATTAGATAGCAAAAACCGGATTACATATTCAGAAAGGTTATACTCGAAAACCTAAGAAAGTGTGTTTAAGTCAAAAATCACGAAATTGGCGTATGAATCAAAATAGCACTCAGGCGGCGAATTAATATTCAATAAAGTTTCTCAAATCTTATTATTTATCATTTCCAATGAGAACAAATAGGCTCTGAGTAAATTACAATGAATTCTAATTAAAATTCTTTGTTTTTTTATAAATGTTGAATAATTTTTCTATTATCGTTCTCATAACTTCTGTTTTCCGAACCCCCACCTGTAAATATTAATGTATAAGTATCAAGAAAATTTCAGGTAAGAAAAATTAGTTTGAATGAATAAAGAGTACAATTAGTAAGAGAATAATTAACAACCAAATGCTTGAATAGCAGCAACCTCAAAATAAATTTATATTTATTTTTCGGAATGTAAAAAAAAATTAACCCTTTTTCAATGAATTTGTTTTTTTACAACACATTAATAAACTGACCTAAAAGATGTGATTCTAAAATTATAGTTTAAACTCAATCGTATCAACCTTCAAGTGGAATAAAATTCTTGGATTCTTAATCTAAAAAGCAATTCAATTCAAATTTTAAAAATAAATTTCTTAAGAATGCTTTCTTGTCCTTTTAAAACCTGCCTCATAAATTGATTTCTTTAGGCTATTTGTTTTAAATTTAAGATTTTTAATTTATATTCGCAATCATTATCAATAATATGGGTTAAATAATAAGTTTAAGTATAAAAATTCAAATAATATGTATGAAATTTTATTCCAATTGAAATCAAAAACTATAACTACACCATTTGAAGATGAAAATTAAAAAAAAAGAAAGTTTTTGTTTTTATATAATAAAAATCTTTGTCTATACATAAAAATATTTTTATTTTTATTTACCACATTTCTAAGATTAAATCTTTAAAGACTTATAAAAACTTTAAAAACAAAATCGAGAGAAAAAAGAATCTTAGTAAACAAACCCTTGGCTCTTAAAAAGCTAATTTAAGTATTTTATGTAATATCCAAAGTCAATTATCCTTTCGTTTTTTAAGTTTCATTCTAGGATTTCTTGAAAATTTTCTTTCCACTTTGTAAGATTTTCATTTTTTTTTTTTCTGTTTTTCGTTTTGATTATTTCCTTTGCTAATGATTTCAATTAAAAATTTATTTAATATTTACATAAATTTTAATATTGTAAATTTTTATATAATCTAATGCCAAATACATACATATATATATACATATAATTGTTTATATAGAATTGTGTTAATCGGACATAAAAGGATATACAGTTTAACACCGATTTAAAAAATATTATAAGGATGCTTTAAGAAAAAACAACGTTACTTTTTATTTTCCTTTATAAATTTACATAACCTGTATTCATTCAATTATTCTTGAGCCCAAAAAAAAAATATATGTACATAATAACGAAAGAAAGAAGAGAAAACGGAAAAAATTTCATTTTTCACAAGGAAAACTTGAAAAAAGAAAGAAACAATTCAGTTTTATAATTGGTATACAGTATATGAATAAAAATTGCCTAAAGTTTTCTAAGCAGGTACTCTTTATATATTAATATACATATATATTTATTTTATAATTCAACAAATTTTATATATTATACATACATATATATAAAAGTCATTCATTCAAGTTCCCATTTAGGAAATGAAAATTTTTCCTACTTAACTTTTATAATAAAGTTAAAAGAATAACGCTTTTTATTTGATTTGAGGGTAGAAAAAGTACACATACAATTCAGAATCAAAAAGCAAATCATATACATACATAGGTATACATAAAAGAAACATGGCTCTTTTGTGTATTTAACCTAATAACCTTTATTTATAACTCTTATTTCTAAAATAAAATGAAATGAAAAACAAAAATATAACAAAAATGAAATTAATCTTCATATTTGAAATATTTGTATATGTTTGTATATACTCGTATAACTATAAATTTATATTTATTTTTCATTTGTTTTTTCTTCCTTTTTCTAATTGCAGGAGTTATGGCTTTACAACCTGAACCAATGTTTGTCTCAAGATCGGAAACATTTAAATTTGTAGCTGGTACTACAATTGAATTACCTTGTGAAGTGGCAAATACAGGTGAGTTTTAAGTCGCAATACAAAATATAATATTATATATTTACATATAATTAGAGTTTGTATATATACATTATACAAAGTAAGTACAAAAATATATACATGTATATATGAGAGCATAAGTATACCTAAAACATATTATAAATATAAAGGATCATATAAAATTGTTATATTGTATAAAAATAATAGAAAAATTTTTTTTCTTTTAAAGTCCCTCACATACATGTGATCTAGGTGTATTTGAACAAAATATATATAGCTTTTAACTTTAAAAACATTACGAAGGATTATTATTGTGGAGGTATTAAAATGGCTCCATGTTAGAGAGTGCTTTTATAACATGTATAATGTTTTAATGCATATACACATGTACATCTAGTATGTTCTTGGGTTTAAATGTTGAAATGAGAAGCCTATATATTAGAAGAAGAAGTTTTAATAACACTCTATTTTAATATAGACGCACAAACTTTTAAGAGAAATGTTTGAAAGCCTCTTTTTTATATAAAAGCTAAATAAAGAGAAATAGAATGAAGCATTCAAAATTAAAAAAAAATCCTTTGAATAAAAATAAAAGTTTTTTTTTTTGTATGGTTTTCTTTATGTTTGTTATTTGTATACATATTTTGTTTTTATATTATAAATCATAAATGGATTATTGTACTGTTAACAAGTCAGCTATAGAGAAAATATCTCATATTTTTCAATTCGATATATCGTACTTATTTTTGATAGATGCAGTAAATAAAAATTAGAGTAGCTAATGTGAATAACGGAAGCAAAATAGTCAATGACAATTATAAGAATTCTCTAGGCAGTTGATAAGAGTAGGTCGCTATTGTGCATGGGCAGCTTAAAAATGACTTGTAATTAAATTTGCTAAGCTTCATACAAGTAAGTTTTCTTTTGTTTTGTTACGGCCCAGTCGTCCATTTGCTGTACTCAATGCGTTGCAACAGAGTAAACAAAAAATTCACTCCCACTTCTATTTTGTAAAAGGAAGATAATTAGGTAATAATTTTGCAACAAACATGAAAACAAAAAAAAAATTTTTTTTTTCCTTGTACATTTTTCATTTTTCGTTACATTTAGGATTTTCTATTTAAAACTAAATGATCCTTTTGAAAAAAATTCAACAAAAGGAAAAGAATTCTTCTTTCTTTTTATAAAAATTAAAAAGCAGGAAGAAAAGTTTTGTTATTTTTTTCCTTTTTCTTTTTTTTTTTTGTAGTAAACGCTTCTCATTCATTTTGTTATTTATTTTACGGTTTTTACATCCGTATATGTTGTTGAATGTGTAAATGAAATAGGAGAGAGGCTGTAAAAGAATGGTTTTCACATAAAAAAAACGGGAAAACATTAAAACTGAAAATATTTTTCTTCTTTTATGTTTTGTAGCCTTCTAAAATCAAAAATATTTGAAATTATTTTAAATTTAAATAAACACAAGGAGATTAAAATTATTTTTAAATTTTTTTCTCTAATATTATTCCTTGTTTTCACTTTTCCCTAAACGGTCGTTAAAACATTGCAAATTAATATTTTTGCACAGTAATTTTAGTTTCTAAGTAATTAGAATTCCTTAGAACAGTTAAGGGTATGTAGATCCTTAATTTCTACTATTTTGTACTCCTAGTATAGTTTAAGGTTCAAAATTTCAATTTACTTATATTGCCAAATTTTAACCACAAATCAAGAACAAATTATATAACTACTTGAGTAAAAATCTTGACAATGGCTCTTTTTTGATAAAGACGTCGAAAATTTTCTTTAGAATTGCTATACCCATTAAAAATAGAAATTGTTTTTTATATTTCAAAAAATAAAATTTCATACTCTCTGCAATAAATCCAAGTACATACAATAAAATCCAAAACAAGGTAATCAGGTTGCATAAAAATATTATTGCCCTTCAATTTTGAAATAAAATTTCTTATTATTAATTGTAATATTTTTATTCGCCATATTTATAATACATGCATTAAGTAATATATTCACAACTTATGAATTTGTGAATAATTTTTTATTAAAAATATTCACAAGGATAAAAAACAATGCACTTGACTTTGACTTATTCCTATAATACGCTCATTATTTGTTAAAGGTATTTTGCAATAAAATTAAGGTCGAAAATAAATTGTGGCGTATTGTAATTATTTTTTTAGATTTTTTTTCTATTTATCTTCTGTCCGTGGTGAAATTTCGGATTATATTTAATGTATTCTAACTGTAATTTCCTACACAGTTTATTATTTTGCTAAATACAGACATATATTCTATATGTATAATTCTGTTTACATACTACAAAGTAATAATGGAATTCCTGTGAAATATCAACTAAAATTGGGCCTTTATGCCTATAAAATGAGCATTTATTATGGATGTACTCCTGTAAATATGCAACAGAAAAATTGAAAAAAAATGTTTTTTTGTGCGAATGTATGTTATGCACGAATGTAGAAATTGCTAGAATGAATATATTTCTAATTGATTTAAAATGAAATACTTAGATTACTAAATTAGATTTGTCAAGATGATCGATCGCCTCATAACTATACTGAAATTTTACATATTTTATATTAAGTAATCCCCCGCATAAAGCCCTCCCAATATAGAAAAATTTATATTACTTTCTGAAGTTTATAAAAATACATGTGCTGAATTTTCATTCTTTTTTTAAATATTTTACATTCGTAAATATTTTAACATTATATCTTTAATAATGAATATAAAATAAAAAATAAAAAACAAACAAGAAATTCAAATATTTCAATTATTGTAAAATTTTTTAAAGATTTCATTGAGGATAGTGATGTTTTTGACATGTAAGTGCAAATAAGATGTTTACAATCTGCATACACTTGCTTACATCATAAACACTAAAATCTTTTATATACCTATAATTATTATGGAGACACATACACATAAACCTAAACAAAGACAAAATTACATCATCTGTCATCAAAGTTACTCAAGTTCTCTTCATCTTATCATACTGTTATACTTAATATCAAGTGGGCTTATATGAAAGAGAATTTGTTGTAGTTTTCTTTTAATTTTATAAGAAATCAATAGCTTTCAAGGATATGTTTTTTACCGACCGCATTGCATACAATAAGACAAGTAATGTGATGGCACCAAATTTCTCATGTCGGCGGAAATGTGTTTTTTCCATGCTAGGGAAGCGTAATTAGACTATTTTTAAAGAGATATCTTTTGGTCTGTTTCTCTGTCTGTCAGTCAAATTTACTTGAAATTTTATATATAAGTTTAGTCTTACAGTACGATAAACAACCTAACTTTTGGAAGAAATCAGGTGCCATCAACTTAATGTTTACTACAAGCCAAATTTACATTTTTGCACATATAAAGAGATATAATTTACCGATTAAAGTTTAATATATGAATTTATGGTGTTAAAACAGTGAAATTAGAAAATATTTAGGAATATTACGGCAAGGAAACCGAATTTTTATAAATCTTAATTCATTTTTCGCTTAACTAGACAATGCACTTTGCGGTCGATTAGGCGCTGACCACATCAGATTTTTTTTGTTGTTATTAAATTAAGTATGCATATAATGATGCGTATATGGATACATACTCGACAATACATATTCATGTAATATTTATGATATATGAGCGTAAATCATTTATGAATATTTATCTTGATTATTATAATAATTAAAGGTTCACGAGAGTCTCTATATTTTTATGTTATATATTAAGTACAATTTACATTTTGATATGAAAAGGATTCAAACATAACATATCTATGTGAGTATCTATGTATAGGTACAATGTACTTTGGTACTCAATTATAAGTGAATTATTAATTGAAAAGTGTTTAAAATTTTATTTGTACACTTATACATGTCGCACACTGTAGTACTATTCATTTCAAGTTGGTATGAGGTTTATAAAAAATATTTTCAGAATACAAAGAAAATGTTTGAAGGTGTTTTTTAAGAAAGTCTATATCAATAATAAGTTTAAAAATATTATAACATTTAGATATTTTCAAAAAGTTTCTTAATATCTTTATTATTTTTCATATATGGTAAAAATATTAATTGCAAACCGTAAGATTTTATTAAAGATTTCTTAATATTCTGGTTTTTATATCACCTCTCTCCATTTCTTTGAATTCTCATAATTAAAAAGTTTTGTCAAATTTAAAAAAACCAAATTGATTTCCAATAAAATCTATTATTATTAATGCTTTCCTTCTATTAGGATATCTAGATTTGATCCGTTGTTGTCAATAAATTAAAATTCTAAAGCCTTACATTTAGGATCAAATTTAAAATTTAATCTAATTAAATTTTCTAAAATATGTACTATTATAATATATGTGTATTGAGGAGGCTAACGATTTCTTAGAAAGCTTATGCAAATGCGCTCCATTGTGCTACCCTTTTAACCAACCGCATTGCATACAATAAGAGAAATTATGTGATGACAACAAATTTTACATTCCGAGTTTTCGGTGGAAACACACTATGAACCGACTTTGATCAAATTTTATATGCAAATTTATTTCGGCGATGTCACAGATTAGTCAACTTTTGAAATATGTTAGGCCTCGCGAGTTGGACCTTAGGGGATAAATAACCAACCAATTTTTTTTCAAATTTAATATTGAAATTCAGAATGTTAAAACAAGGAGCTTATAAATTTTTTGGAAAAGTCATGGCTCGGAAACCGAACCAGAGGCTGATTTTATATTTTTTTCCATATCTACTGAACTTAAATGGAATTTCTTAAAATTAAATATTTATTAAGAGTACTGATTGTTACCACAACTAATTGGCGAAATTTTCATGGAATTCGGATGGCACAAAACGAAACTCCACAAAGAGCCAAATTTACACTTTTCTAGGTATGTTAACTAAAAACTTGCTAATCTCCTTAAAATTAAAAGGAAGGGTTTAAGACGATTTTTATAACTTTCTGTAACACTTGCACTAAGCGATAACACATACAATGCAGTGGGTTCGCTG